GCTCCGGCATCCTGCGGGGACACAGCAGGGGTGTGGGACCCCGCGAGGGCCAAAGAGGGGGGGTCCCCACCACCCCATCCCCCGCTCCTTACCGCAGCACCCCGTCCCGCACGCTGTGGGTGGGGGGCAGCTCCCCGCCATCCTTCAGCCACTCCAGCCGTGCCCGGGGGTCCCCTGAGACGGTGCAGGCGAATTCGGCAGTGCCACCCACCCCCTTGACAAGGCTCCCTGGCGTCACCCGTACGGTCAAGGGACTGCTGCTGGCGTCACCACCGTCACCAGCATCACCTGGGGATGATGCAAAGCCCTGATGGTACCCGGAAGTGAGGGCATCCCCTGCACACGTATCCCTTTTGGGGGGGCGGGGGCTCACCGTGGACAGCCACGTGGGCGAAGGCCTCGGCGGTGCCAACGCGGTTGGTGACGAGGCAGCGGTAGGTGCCAGCGTCAGCCGGCAATGCTGGGCTGATGCGGAGGAGGCCGGCACGGTGGATGACGCGTGCCGAGAGGCTGCCGTTGACCTTGTCCCAGGCGTAAAGCAGTGGTGGGGTGCCATGGGCCAGGCACTGCACCTGCAGTGCATCGCCAGCACGCACCACGGTCTCCTCCGGCAGGCTGGTGGCGTACGGTGGCACTGCGGGGATGGCCGGTACCCTCAGCACCTGGCCACAGCCAGGGTGGGGCAATGAATGGGTCAATGGGGCAAGGAGGGCATCAGTGGGAGGGTGTGGGTGGAGAAGGAGGTGGGAGTCTGTTGGGATGGACCAGAGATGGACGGATCCATGAGGGATAGATGGATGGAGGGGTGTGAGAGGAGATGGAGAGATGGATGTGGGCTGGAATGGACCAGAGATGGATGGATCCACCAGGAAGGGATGGATGGAGGGTGTGCATGGAGATGGAGTAGTGGATGTGAGCTGGGATGGACAAACGATGGATGGATCTACCAGGAAGGGACAGATGGAGAAGTCTGAGAGGAGATGGAGAGATGGGCGTGTGGTGGGATGGACCAGAGATGGATGGATCCGTGAGGAAGAGATGGATGGAGGAGTTAGGCAATGGAGTGATGGACACATGCTGGGATGGTTGAGTGATGGATGAATCCACCAGGAAGGGGTGGATGGAGGGGTGTGAAAGGAGATGGAGAGATGGGCATGTGCTGGGATGGAGGAGACGGATGAATCCACCAGGAAATGATGGATGAAGGGGTGTGAGCAGAAATGGAAATGGATGTGAGCCGAGATGGTTGAGCAATGGATGGATCCATGAATAGGGGATGGATGGAGGAGAGAGCAGCAGTAGAGATGGGTGGGCACAGGGATGGGACAAGTGGATGGATGCATCCCTGAGGAAGGGCTGGATGGAGGATCCTGAGAGGAGATGGAGAGAAGGATAAGTGCCAGGATGGAGTGAGGATGGATCCGTGAGGAAGGGCTAGATGGGAGGGTGGGAACGGTGATGGAGATGGCCATGTGCAGAGGAAGGAAGCAGAGGAGCCAAGGACGGGTGATGGCACCAGCAGGGCAAAGGGGATGGTGGAGATGGCAGGAGAGACCCAGGGGCACCCCGACCCCCTGCCACCCCCTTACTCTCCACGTCGAGGGTGACGAAGACTTCGGCGGAGCCGACAGGGCTGCTGGCGTTGCAGATGTACTGGCCCGAGTCCTGCTGTGCGGCGCGGGGGATGACCAAGCTGCCGTTCACCACCCGGTGCTGCCAGGGCAGGGGCGCCCGCAGCTTCGACCACTCGATCCGGGGTGCCGGCTCGCCTGCAGGCAACACCGGTGTCCGTCACCGCGGTGTCAGGGTACTGCACAGGATACCCCTCCTCTGCCACCACCCCCCATCATCCCCATACCTCTGGCCGTGCAATGCAGCGTGGCAGTGTCCCCAGCCACCACGGTGACAGCGGGCGGCGCAGTGACCTCAGGGGCACCGGGGTGCCGCTGTGTTGTCTCCACGTTGACGTCCACCCGGGCTTGCGCCGAACCCAAGGCGCTGTGTGCCGTGCAGACATAGGTCCCGGCGTGCTCCGGCTTGGCCGGTGAGAGCTGGTGGAGGGCGGGACAGGGTGGGTGGTGAGCACCATGCACCCACTGGTGGCCCATGGCACCCCAGGGTGCCCCACTCACCTGCAGGATGGCCTGGCTGTCCATGTGCAGCAGTGTTTGGTGCTCCACCTTCTGCCGGGAGCCCAGCCGGCTCCAGCGCACCAGCGGCCGCGGTTCACCCCGGCCAAGGCACTCCAGGCTGATGGATTTGCCCTCCTTCACTGTCACCGGGCCCGGTGGCATCACCGACACCGTGGGGGCACCTGGAGAAGGTGGAAGACATCAGTGCGGGGATGGGGACACCACCACTAAGGATGCTGGCATGGTGATGGGGACACCATCACCCCTGGGGGCATCTGGAGCATGGGGAGGACATCAGCATGGGGGTGGGGATGGGGACACCACCACCCCAGGAGCTGCTGGAGCACATGGAGGACATCAGCATGGGGACGGGAACATCACAACCCCAGGGACACCTGGAGAACATCAGCAGGGGGACATGGGCACCACTACTCCAGGAACACCTGAAGCACGGAGAGGACATGGGAACAGGGACACCACCAACACAGAGGCCCCTGGGGCACACGGGGACAGCCAACATGGGCGTGGTGATGGGGACACTGCCACCCCAGGGGCAGTTGGAGCACACAGCGGGCATGGCGATGGGGACACCACCACCTTGGGGGGCATTTGGAGCCCATGGAGATGGGGACAAGGACACCCCGGACACCTTGCACCAGGAGGTTGACGACGCTGCTGGCGACACCAAAGCGGTTGGAGGCCACACAGTGGTAGGCACCCTGGTTGCCCACATGGGCGCCGGTGATGGAGATGACTGAGCCGTTGGTGCTGATCTTCACATTGTCTGGACAAGGAGGAGCTGTCAACACCAGGGCCACCCTGGGGACCCTGCTGGGGCCACCCTGGGGACCACTATACCTTGGAGATGTTGGCCAGGTCCCATTCGCCACGTGATGTTGATGGGCCGGGCACCGTCATGGATGCGGCACTTGAAGGTGGCATCCTCACCCGGTGCCACCGCCATGCTGTGCGGGTCGATGGAGATGATGGGGCTCTGCAGACCTGCAGGGACAAAGGGACAGAGAAGCCACTGAAGTCTCCCATGTCCTCCATCTCCTCCCAGCATCCTCCCTTGCCCCATGGCTGCACTCACGGTAGCTGGAGCTGTCATGGGAGGTGACGGTGATGGTGACAGTGGCCTCACGGGAGAAGCTGCCTGTGTCCGCCCGGCACACATACTCCCCTGAATCGGCCACCGAGAGCTGTGACAGCCGCAGGCGGGACCCCGAAACCTGGGGACATGATGGCAAGGGGGTGGTGACATCAACCGGCCACCCACGGCCACTGTCCCCCACCCTGCCAGAGTCCCCCACCTACCTGGTGCTTGGCTGGGAGGGACCCCCCGCGCTTGTACCAGGTGATGGTGGCCTGTCCCTGGCCAGCCACCACGCAGTCAAGGTCCAGGGTCTGTCCCTCGGTGACGGAGGACGCGGAGGACTCAATGCGGATGGGCGGTGTGACACCGGTGGCTGCATGGGCAGAGTTAAGGGAAAATGTCCCCACTGGTCCCCAGCACCAGTGGGGAACCGTCCCCCAAAGGGTGGCACTCACGGTGGGATGGGTTGGCTCCATCATCGATGGTGACAACGAGGGACGTTTCCTGCGTGACGCCCCCCAATGTCACGCGGCACACGTACTCCCCTGAATCGGCTGCCGTCACCTGGGGGATGCGCAGGCGGGTGCCCGACACCTGGGAGGGACAATTTGGGGACAGGTCAGTGCTGGAGAGCAGGGGGATGGGGCAGGATTTGGGGTGACACCCCCGCTGCACCCTACCTGGTGGCCAGCGGGCAGAGAGCCGCCGCGCTTGTACCACGTCACGGTGGCAGGGCCGGATCCTGCCACCAGGCAGTTGAGGTCCAGCGTCTGTCCCTCAGCGATGGCCGAGGATGACGACTCGATGCGGAGGGGCTGGGAGACGCCAGAGGCTGGGGGGACAGGGAAAGGGGACATTTGACACCGAGATGGCACCCGTCTGTCCCCAAGTGCTGCCCAGCTTGCTCACACTCACGATAATAGGTGCCGGCACTGCCAGGCACAGTGACAATGACAGATGCCTCCTGCGTGACAGTCCCCAGCGTCACCCGGCACACGTACTCCCCCGAATCGGCCACTGCCACCTGGACGAGGCGCAGGCGGGTGCCAGCCACCTGGAGAGGTGACGAGTTGGGGACATGTCAGTGTGTGACAAGGGGCTGTGCCCTGTGGGGTGATGCCACCTCCTCAGTGTCCCACCTGGCTGTTGGGGGGCAGAGCCCCCCCGCGCCGGTACCAGGTGACGTGGGGGTGACCCTGTCCTGCCACCATGCAGTTGAGGTCCAGGGTCTGTCCCTCTATGATGGCAGCAGACGAGGTCTCGATCCTCACTGGTGGTGTGACGCCGACAGCTGGGGGTGGCAGCAGGGTCAGTGGGGGCAGCCACCGCGTCCCCATCATGTCCCCATGTCACCTCCCACCCATCCCCAGTACCGTAAGAGGAGCCGGCACCGGTCTGGATGGTGACAATGAGGGACGTCTCATGTGTGACACCGCCCAATGTCACTCGGCACACATACTCCCCCGAATCGGCCGCTGTCACCTGGGGGATGCGCAGGTGGTTGCCCGACACCTGGGGGGATGACACATGTGAGAAGGGGGACACAAACCCCTCAAAACCCCCCAAAAAACACTTTTCCACCCCAAATCACCCCTCTGGTGTCCCGTACCTGGTGCTTGGCCGGGAGGGACCCCCCACGCTTGTACCAGGTGATGGTGGCCTGTCCCTGGCTGGCCACGATGCAGTTGAGGTCCAGGGTCTGTCCCTCAGCCATGGAGGAGGACGAGGACTCGATGCGTACTGGGGAGGTGACACCAACGGCTGGGGACAGAGATGGGAGGGTGACCCCAAGGAGACGGTGGCACGGTCCCTGGCACGGTCCCCCTGTCCCCTCCCAGTCCCTACTCACGGTAGGCACTCGTCCTGCTGGGCTGGATTGTCACCACAATGGAGATTTCCTTGGTGGTGGCCCCACTGGTCACCCGGCACACATACTCGCCCGAGTCAGCTGCTGTCACCTGCAGCAGCCGCAGCCGGGAGCCGGACACCTGCGGGGAGGGGACAGGGGGGTCACCGGGGCCACTTGAGTTTGCAGAGGGCCTCTTAGGCTTGCACGAGCCACCTGGGTTTCCTTGGGCCACAGGGGCTTGCATGGGGCCATTTGGGCTTGCATATGGCTGCTTGGGCTTGCCTGGGCTTGCATATGACTGCTTGGGCTTACATGGGCCACTGAGCTTGAATGGGCCACCTGGGCTTGCATGGGGCCACTTGGCTTGCATGCATTTGCATGGGTTACTTGGGCTTGCACAGGGCCAGCCACGCTTGCATGGGGCCACCTGGGCTTGAATGGGGCCACCTGGGCTTACACAGGGCCATGGGTGAACCCCAACCACCCCCTGGGGACATCCCCCTCCGCGTCCCTTACCTGGTGCTTGGCTGGGAGGGACCCCCCACGCTTGTACCAGGTGACGGTAGCCTGCGCAGGGCTGGCGATGACGCAGTTGAGGTCCAGGGTCTGGCCCTCGGCCACGGGCGATGACAAGGATGAGGACTCAATGCGCAGGGGGGTTGTGCTGCCTGGGGCTGGGGACCGAGACGGGTTAGAGACCGTGGCCACCACTGCGTGTGACCCTTCAAGGGACACCAGGAGCCCGGGAAGCTGGGATGGGCATGCACATGGGTGGCTTCCCCAGGGACTGATTCATCCCAAACCCAGGGACATTGCAGGGCAGCGTCACCCCCTCAAGGGTAACGTCCCCTGTCCCCTCTTGTCCCCACTCACTGTAGGTGCTGGCCCCACTGGGCTGGATTGTCACCATGATGGAGGTTTCCTTGGTGGTGGCCCCGCTGGTCACCCGGCACACGTACTCGCCCGA